ACAACAATGAATTACATGTGGATATTTGAATTCCTAACGCGCCTTGATTAATAAGTCAGATCAACTTTTTTTAAACTAAGATTTTATCCATTAAAATTTTAAATAAAATATACATTTTTATGATTACTGGAAGGTTATATTTATTTCCTATTAATTCCCAGGCGGGCATTGAAAAAAAAAAACTTTTGAAAAGTGAATGTTTTTTTTTTTTCTCAGATACCATTTTAGTACTGGAAAAAAAAAAACACATTCAAAATTTCTAACCATTTTGAAAATATTTTTTCTATACATTGAAAGGACTTGTCAAAAGTCTAAGTGCACGTCGTTTTTTTCTGAAACTAAACTGTTATAGTTTAGAGTTGGTGTCACATAAACAATATGATAACTGCATAAATATTTAATGTAAAAATATGTAATTTTATAAGAGAAATCTTGTTATTTGAATATGCAGCAATATAAAATCCTGATTGCAACTCTAATCTTATTTAAAGTATTGCTAAAATTTTTCCACTACCATTTCTGGTCATTGCTTCCATTAGAAACTTTGTTATGAGGAATCAGAATCTCCGCCACCAAAGCAAAAACAGACGTTGTACGTGAAACCATGATTGTACAAAGATGACGTAAATATTTACAAATGCTGGGCAAATTTTAATTGAAATCGTGTAATAGAGTGAAAAGAATTAGAAACTTTCTTTAAAGAATTAGAAAATTTGTAAAAATTGTTTTTATTTTATTTAATAACCGAGGTTGAACAACCTACCCTAATTCTGAGTTTCCAACTATCAATGTTCAACCCCATAGCCTTGTAATTTTGAAACCAGCCCAGAAGACAAAGGAACTCCTAGATCAAGCATTATGACAAATTAGCTTTCGTGGAGGACTTTTTGGTGAAACCTCGTTTGCGTTACATGGAGAGAAAAAAACCACGACAATCTCACACGGTTAGCCCGACGACAAGGGGATTCTAACCCACGATCCACTGAGGATATTTTTATCCAGCACTGTGGTTAATGTGAACCGGGAGCAGAATTCTTACCAACCAGCCACCACTGAGGGTCTAACCTGGGTGACGTCATTTCAATCCTCAGTGGTGGATTGAAGCCTGCCCAGCTTCAGATCGATGAATAGCAGCTTGTCGGGGAAATAAAGACGACCTGTGCGCAAAGTTAACCTCATTACCACAATGTTGCGTTGGCCTCGAATTTGAGAAAATTCAAACTCCATAACGTTAGTTCACAGGGAGCTGCTGCGGAAATGAAAATTAGTGCATAGTAGTCTAATCCCAGTGGAAATATCTTTCTGTTACCTACCACTGTAGTTTTCGAAAGGAAGGTCCATAGACAAATATTTATATTGTTATTATATCTTGGTAGACAGAACTATCAGGTATCTGCAAATTAAATAATATTAATGAAATACTTAAGCCCCCTCCGCAAAAAAAAAAAAGACATCATCCTTTTCAAAAGAAACGAGGTACAAATGGGTTAAGATATAATATATGGAAGTTTCATTGAGATTTTATCTCCAATTAAAAACCTAACTATAATTCAATATGTGCAATTATAAAAAAAAATAATTATTCAAAAAGTACTCTACTTGAAAACAAAATATTAATTGTAAGCGAATAATATGTATTTTCATTAAAATATTTTGCTTTTTAAGCTATTAAGTAACAAGTTTCCCATTCTGGAACTGTGCTCTTTTTTTCCAAAACCGATAACTTAAATATTTAATAGTTAAAAATTATTTCAGACAAAAAGAAAATTAGTCTACCATATTTATATTCATCAGTTAAAAATTTTTTTTTTCTAATTTGAAATGTGATTTCAAATTATTAAAAATTAAAGAGGTAGCTTACATTGAGGATAATCAACTTTAAGTAAAAATATTTTTCTCCTAAAGTACTTTTCCCATCTGTGCTGAAAGATAAATTTCCTCCCCTTGTAAAAGGAATTTGTTAAACAAATATTTGCTTCTTTACTCATTCAATATTTTTTCCAATTCTTCGGAAAAGTTTGCCTTTAATTACTCAAAAACAAACCATCCTTGAGAACAAGTATTTACTTCTGAAAAGGAATTTGTAAAGATTAGGGGGGGAAGCATTTATTCAAATATAACCTACTACATCATGACGATTTCTGCAGAACAAAGCAGTGGCTTCTTTTAACTATCAATAGCATCACCAACCTTTTTAGGCCACATCCCTAACTGTTTTATTCTTCCTTAAGTTTCATAATGGCCGCAACACCAAACCATAATGGTTTAAAAATTCCTATGGTTTCTACTGTCAGGGGAAATATAGATTATATTGAATACGCAAAATTTTTAAAGACTTGTTTCTAAAACAATTTTTTTTGTGCATAAAAAGAATAAAACTTAATTTCTGTTGCTAAATTTGAATGAAAGCTTTAGGTCGAATGTTCTAATAAACCTCTATGGTTGTAGGAAAAGGAACTGAATTAACGGTCGTTGAAATACAATGGATAGTAGTATTGGGAGCTATACTAAACAACATAAAAAATAAATAACAATCATACAATGTGTTTAGTATTTATTTTGTAAAATACAATATATGAAAAATAAATAAATAAAAAACAGACATTTTAATAAAAACAGAAAAAGTATTTGAATAAATACAATATTAACAAAACTGTTGTAACTTAATTTTTATCAAAAAAAGGCCAAAATATTAATTATAGTTATTAAATGTTGCAAATCCAGAGTTACTTCCAACAAAAATATTAATAAAACACAAAATCTTTCTTTTATTAAGAACAAAATAACAGTTCACAGAATAAAACTCAATAATCATACTTTGTCACAGTTGTTAATAATTAGAGTTCTTAAAATATTCTCAATTAGTTTAAATTAGTGATAAAATAATTGAAATACTTTTCCCAGTCATAATAATATTAAAATATTCAAGTTTACCTTAGTAATAGCATTAAAAACATATTATACGCTGATGTTTAACAAGTTTAAACTAAAGAGTGTAAATAGAATTAGTAAGAATTTTTTAAAAAATTGATTAAAAACATTTCAAAACTGCTCAAAATTTTTTCCACTTAATCGACCAAATTTAATGACACTAAATACATAAATTTCATTCATTTGAGCATGAAACAAATAGAATTTTTTTTTTCATTTAATACAAACATGATTAAATTTAAATAGTTATCAGGATAAATATTTAAACTGAAAGTAATTAAGAGCTTATTATACAATATATAAACAGCAAGATAATTGTAATCAATTTTCATATATTTAATAATTAATGATTTATGTAACAAACACATTAATTTAAAATAACAAATTATTTATTAACAGTTAGAAAATGAATCAGTTTTCTTAATTTTTAAAATTAATAATTTCTGTAATAAACATTTTAGTTTAAATAACATATTATTTATGAGCAGCTACATAATTTTATTAAGTTTTCATAATTAATAATTTAACATCTCAGTTTAAATATTTGTAGGGGTAAATGTTAAAATTAAGAATTGGTAAATAACATTGCCTTTATAAGCAGCTAAAAGATTGATAAATTTTTACAATTAAGATCCATAATTTAAATAACAAACATCTTAATTTAAATATTTGTAGGGGTAAATATTTAATTAATTAATAATTTAAATAAATAAATATATACACAGCAAATAATGCATCATTTATGAGCAGTTAACGAATTCATCAAATTTTTGATTTAAATTGTACAATTTATATAATAAACATCCAAATTTAATCAGAGTTGAACGGTTCGGAAGATTTTACTTAGCAAAACTGTTGACATGATTCATGTTTGAAGCTTTTTGAAATGGCGTCTTTTTTACTCATTCAAAATTTGCATCGACCAAAATAAGAGTAGGAAGTTTAAAGCTACTTTCTTTTTCTGATAACACTATAATTCTAAAAGTAATTTAAATATCTCTGTCTAATAGAATTATTTCAAAATTGATGGTATTAAAAAGGGAAAGAATCTATTAACTTCCTCTCTTCATTGCAATTTTTTATGGATAAAAATTATACCATTTCTAAGAGCTAAAAGCATGATTTTTCAAATCGTGCTACAGTTTTTGCATGTAAAAATTTTCTAAACATTTACTACTAAAGAAAGATTGTTTACATATGGAGTTAGTTAAGAAATGTTCATATTTTCTCACCACAAATGTTAAAAGAAAAAGAAAGAAGAAAAAAAAATTAGTGGTTTTTATCTAAAAAAATAAATTAAATAAAAGAAATTTTATTGGATAAAAACCAAAACAGTTATCTTTTGGAAAAATTTAGTTATACCTGTGTTGTGCTTTAAAAAATAGCAATATATATATATTTTTAACGGAGTTTTTGCCAACTAAAAATTAAAAATTTTAAGGCGAAAATGCTAAAATTCGGAAGTAGTAAACAACCTATTGTGTGTAAGTAGTTGATTGTGTCTCAAAATTGTAAATTAACACAACAATGTTCATGATTCAAAAATTTATAATTGTTTAAACTAAATAAAAGTAATAATAAAAAAAAACATATTATTCAAAAAGAACAACAAATTTTTCAGTTCCTTTTTCAACCTCTTTCAGTTTTCAGTCCAATAATAATGGAAGTAAACGGTTTAATTAATAATTATTGAAAGCAAAGATATGTTTGATTTTTATAAACAATTTATTAAGTTATTTCATTTGCGAATGAAACAAAGAAGTTATTGTATCTTTCTTTTATTTAGACAACAAACATTTTAATTTAAACATTTAAACTCCATGTTATAATATATTAAATCAGTATAAATATTTACAATAATAAGTGCATAAATAATATATTAGTTGTGAACAATATTTCACAAAATATAAAAGCTTAATAAAATTATTTCAATTTTCAAACCTTGTTCAATAAATCAAATCTTATAAAATTCTAATGATTTATGAATGAGGCACAAAATATTTTTTAGTATGTACAACAGATACCATAATTTAAACACTTTTTTCCTTAATAAATATTATCATACTTTAAAAATTCTGGCATAACAATAGCATTAAATATAAATATATAGCAAATAACAGTATACAAAATTTTCTTCCTGTAAATATATTCTAACGCATANTGTATATATATATATATATATATATATATATACACAGCAAATAATGTATCATTTATGAGCAGTTAACGAATTCATAAAATTTTTGATTTAAATTGTACAATTTATAGAATAAACATCCAAATTTAATCAGAGTTGAATGGTTCAGAAGATTTTACTTAGCAAAACTGTTGACATAATTCATGTTTGAAGCTTTTTGAAATGGCGTCTTTTTTACTCATTTAAAATTTTCATTGAACCAAATGAGAATCGAGAGTTTAAAGATACTTTCTTTTTCCAATAACACTAAAATTCTAAAAGCAATATAGATATCTCAGTCTAATAGAAATATTTCAAAATTGATGGTATTAAAAAGGGAAAGAATATATTAACTTCCTCTCTTCATTGCAATTTTTCATGGGTAAAAATTATACCATTTCTAAGAGCTTAAAGCATGATCTTTCAAATTGTGCGCACAGTTTTCACATGTAAAAATTTTCAAAACATTTACTACTAAAAGAAAGATTGTCTACATATGGAGTTAGTATAGAAATGTTCATATTGTTTTTTTTAAAAAAAAAAAAAAAAAAAAAAAAAAAAAAACAGAAATTAATTGGTTTTTACCTAAAAAAATAAATAAATAAAAAAGACGGATTTTACCAGATAAAAAACAAAAAAGTTATCTTTTGCAAAAATTCAGTTATTGTGCTTTAAAAAAAAAGAACTAATATTCATGATTTAAAAATTTATAATTGTTAAAACTAAATAGAAGTAAAAAAAAAACAACATATATTATTCAGAAAGAACAACAATTTTCTTTTCTTTTTTCAACCTCTTTCAGTTAATAGTAAAGTCAGTTAATAGTTTAAATAATAATGGAAGTAATCAGTTTAATTAAAAATGATTGAAACCAAACATATGTTTGATTATTATAAACAATTTATTAAGTTATTTCATTTGTGAATGAAACAAAGAAGTTATTATATCTTTATTTATTTATTTAGACAACAAACATTTTCATTTAAACTTCATGTTATATAATATTAAATCAGTATAAATATTTACAATAATAAGTGCATAAATAATATATTAGTTGCGAACAATATTTCATAAAATATAAAAGCTTAATAAAATTATTTCATTTTTCAAACCTTGTTCAATAAATCAAATCTTATAAAATTCTAATGATTTATGAACGAGGCACAAAATATTTTTTAGTATGTACAACAGATATCATAATTTAAACACTTCTTTCTTTTATAAATATTATCATACTTTAAAAATTCTGGCATAACATTAGCTTTAAATATAAATATATAGCAAATAACAGTATACAAAATGTTTTTCCTGTAAATATATTCTAACGCATATTCTTTTAAACTATGTGTACTCAGTTGTAGCAGAATATCTATGAAGAAGGATACTGTAACAGGTATCACAGACTCTAACTGGTTTAGCAGATGATGGTAAAGGCATTGTATTATCTGAACAAGAGTTACAAAATATATCCCCACAATGTCTACAATGATGCTAAAAAGTAAAGAGAGAGGTTATTTTTTTACAAATAATATCATCTAAGTTTCTTTTAAAACTTGAAATTTACTTAAAATGACAAACTCAATTTTTATTACAAACAGTTATCTATTTTCTATTAGATTTGGAAATACATCATTTATACAGAATTTGAATAAGCAACAAAAGTGACATTTCAATTTTAAAATTATTTCATACATTACATTTTGAAAGAAACAGAATTTTCCGGGTTGAAGGTTCAACATGTATATTTTGTAAGATACATTGTAAATTAAAAGTGAAAGCAATATTCGGCACAAGAACTGGAAAAATGTCTAAAACATACCCTTACTCATTAAGTATACTTTGACTATATAGCTTAAAACCAGAATGTATCTTACACGTAATAATGATTATCAAAAACAAAAATAAATTCATACAGAGCTTATCTTCAAAATAAATTAATATCAATATCAGTCTTTTGAACAGTAGTGTTATTTAAATGCAAATATAGTAACATTTAAAAAATAATTTCTAAGAATAAACTGTTTAAGAAAGAATATTTTTGAAAAATCAATAATTGAAATTAAATGAATACAAAAAAAAAAATTATTTTAACCAATAGAGGAGAAAGTTTTTACAAAAAATAATTGAAATAGATGTTAAACTTAATTATTTTCTAAAGTTATCCAAACTTGCCATAAAAGAAGAGAGCAATATTTATCAAAAACACTTGTAATTTATATTATTATTATTTTAAAAGTGAGTTGGAAAAATAGTAAAATTTAACTAAAACCTTATTCACTTACTTTTCTTCGGGCAACAGAGAAAGGTTTGTTGCATTGTCTACATATTGTAGCTTGCTTGTCATGAGTCCAAACTGCTTCTTTCATAGCCATTTGACTTTCTTTCATATCTTCGATTTTCAGTTTAGAACTGCTCAAAAATATGTTAGAAAAGCATAAGCAATGAGAGTTAATTTAATTTAAAAAACAAATAAAATACAACACAAGAGGTGATAACAATTTTTAAATCAGTTAAAAAAATCCTAAGCTTTAATTTTTTGAGCAAACATTTCAAACAGAACATAAGCAAGTTCTCTTACAGAGAAATATTTGTCCTTGCATCATTTTATTTTAATTACTTCTCATAAGCAACAAATCTTGGATGAACTGTTTATAAAATAGGCATGTTATGTTTGTAGTTTTGAAATATTATATATATGTCTACATACATATTGTGTTGATATATTTTGTTTTGGCTATATGAATACAATATCAGAAAGCAAGGGACGGGATAGCCTGGTTGGTAGGTCACTGGGGCTGTCCAAAAGGCTGTGGGTTTGGTTCCAACTAGTCGAAGACTCCCTGTGAAGTAAATGGTGACTGATGCACTTTAAATCTGTCGAGTCACAAAATCCTCCATGTTACTGTAACAAATCATACCTCTGGGGGTACTGATCCAAGAGTTTCCTTGTCTCCTGTATTGGTTCCAAATTACAAGGTTACAGAGTTGAACATAAGTAGTCGCAAACCCAAAATTGAGTCGACTGTTCAATGGCGGTTATAAAATTAAAATAAAATATTAGAAAGCACTCTTTTTTTGCGGATATAATCATGTCAGCTGATGATGAGATTATATCTTGAATTTTCTTTGTTTTCAGCTTTTAATTTTTTAAAAAAAATTATTATGTTCAAATTAATATCTTTCTTCTTCTCTTTTTAAAATCTTTATTATATTTTATTCCATGTTTTCTCTACATTTTTAACTTATTTTATGAGTTCTATATACAGTACAGAACCTCTTATCCGGAAATCAGAAAACCGGAATGAAAGTTGATAAATTTTCCCCCCATTTAAAAAAAAAATAAATTTTTTTTCTCCTAAGATTTTAGGATTTTTCTTTCTTTTTAAAAAGGTGTTTACTTTACCATCATTTTAGAAATAATCATTAGTTCCCTACACTGTCAAAAGAAGTAGGAGTCTTGTCCTAAATATCATCAATCATTCCCTTCTCCACCCCCTACATAGTTGTTTCTTTTCAATCATAGCTCAGTGAGAAAGAGTGACTCATTGAACACCTGTTTTCTTATTATCTGGCCCTTAAGCAGGGGGAGTAATTACTACTAGTTTCTCACAATAGGAGTCATCATGTCAGTTGATCACTTAGTCCAGGAGAGTTAAAAACAAATAATTTTATTTGCTTTCTTTGATTCTTAGAAATCTCTTACAGTACAGGGACTGCAGAACTCCTATTTTTCCTATTATCTCCATACCCCTTCTTTTTTTTCCTGTTATTTTCTACTTTCTCTTATTTTTTTCTGTCATTTTTGCTATTCCCCCTTTTAACATAGTGACAGCAAAGAAACAGGAGTAATGACTCAAGGTCAAGTAGTGCAACTGCACCTGTTTTTCAATTCATTCATTTTGAATGGGGTGTGAGGAGGGGGCAGAACATAAATTCTTTTTATTGTCAGCTTCTGTGTGGGATTGCCAATTTATTTTTAACTGGAGTGGAGGAGAAATAAAATCACTCAGCTTAATGAGGAATAAGATTGTCATACACTTGTTTTTCCTTCTGATTTCGATTAATGTTTTAGCAAAATGTTGAAACCCAAGTTAAACTCTTCTAGATAGTAATCGCATGCCAGAATCACTGCGATATTGTCGCAGAATGTTAGTTTTTCGCAGAAAGATTTTTCCTTTGGGAAGTAAAAATTTTTTAATTTCTTTTCTGCAGAAATTTTAGAAAGATTTTTTTTCCTACCCAGAATTATATTCAAACGATGTATTTCTAGCGCATAGGAGGAGGGAAAAGAAATGTTTGAGAACAATAAAGTAAAAAAAATTGTTTTCCTTTTATCCAGAAATTTTCCAAAGATTCATTTTTTTTTCATCCAGAATTATTTTAAATGATGTCTTTCTCATGCATAGGAGGGGAAAGATATGCTCCTGATTTTTCTCTTCTGATTTGAGAATATTAAAAAATAATGAAGTAAAAAATTGTGTTTTTCTTTTCCCCAGAAATTTTCAAAAATTTTTTTTGTCCATCCAGAATTATATTCAAATGATGTCTTCCTCGCTCATAGGAGGGGAAAGAAATGTTTCCAATTTTTCTCTTATAATTTGAAAATAATAAAAAATGATGAAGTAAAAAATTGTGATTTTCCTTTCCCCAGAAATTTTCAAAAGATTCTTTTTTCCAACCAGAATTATATTCAAATTATGTCTTTCTCGCACATAGGAGGGGAAAGAAATGCCTGCGATTTTTCTCTTCTTATGTGAGAATAAATAAAGAATTATGAAGTAAAAAATTGTGATTTTCCTGTCCCCAGAAATTTTCAAAAGATTCTTTTTTCCATCCAGAATTATATTCAAACATTGTCTTTCTCGCGCAGAGGAGGGAAAGGAAATGCTCCTGATTTTTCCATTTTCTTTTGGTAATAATGCAGTAAAAAATGGAGTGGATGGTTTTGAGTCCTGACGCAGACAACGACAAAGTAGAAGAAAGCGACCAGGAAGATGGAGCCCATCCCCTTTTTTTCCATCTTACCTTTTTGTTCATTTTACATTAAGCCTGTATATATTTTTATTTCATTATTTTTTTCTCCTATTAAACTTATGTGTATTGCTTTATCGTTTTTTATTTTTCTTAAAGATTATTTCCAAAAATGTTTTCTTTAATTGGGTTTGACAAAAAAAAAAAAAAAAAAAAAAAAAAAAAANAAAAAAAAAAAAAAAAAAAAAAAAAAAAAAAAAAAAAAAAGGCTTTTGTAGCAATTCAGAAAATTGAAAAAATCAGTCATCCGGAAAAGGGATGGTCCCGATCGTTCCGGATAATCGGCTCCCTACTGTACTTTCAGCTTATGTGTAGTAAATAAGACTTATTATTTTTCTTCTTTTAGACTTATTATTTTTCTACATTAAACTTCAACAGTGAAATTATTAATTAAACAAAATTATAATTACAAATCAAACAATATGAAATATAAATTAATATTTTTTTAAAAACATGTTCAATAATTCAAGTATGGTTGTCCTTTTATTTGTTCTAAAATGTCATTACTAGTAATTCTCTCAATTGGAATAAATTTTTACACAAAACCAATCTCATGAATTAATATTCTTTTACAATCTGTAATTTAATTTAGGATTTTATATCCTGAACATAATTTTTTTCTATTTATTATTGAATGCACCCTGATTTACCATTTTCAAAATACTTTATTTATAAAATTATTTATTGGATTTAAATCATTTTATATATACTTCACAAAGATATCGATACAAAACTTTGAAGCAACTGATCTCTATCAATCAAGATTTGATTTCATTTTTAAAAAATAGTTATTAAGCATATGGTCCCCAATTTATCCTTATAAAAATTAGATAAGAGTAAAATTTAAGTAATTAAGTGTTTTTCTTTATTCAAAAGTCCAAAATATTCTGAAAATAGGTAATGAAGATAAGATACTTCAATCACTTTTGTACAAATTATCGATAGTTCCACAATTCAAAGATATAACATTTTTACAATTTTAAAATAGTTAATGAAGTTTATTTTATGAAAATTAAGCTGAAAAGTGACATGCCTGTAAAAAAGAAATAGACTCGATAATTCTTTTTCTTTATTAGAACAATGTGACTAAAGTGGTACAAAATGAGTAAAAAGCTTTCTCAATTGTATTTTCATAATTTAAAAAAAATAATTAAAAAAAATCAGGTAGTTATTTTTAAATTTAAAACTCAATCTGAATTTAATATAAAAATATTTCTTGAGGTTTAAATTAGAAACAATCTACAGCTATAAAAAATTCAATATTAAAAATAATTTAAATATGCAACAAAATTTAGCGCAGCATCAACCTTTAAAGGACTGAATCTAAAAATATCTGAGGAGGTGAAATACATTTCAGGTCAACATTACAATTTTGAAATATGCGAATTTTTAAAAAATTCTGCTTCTACATGAACCTTTTCTTTGCAAATTAATGGATTCTAAAATATCAAAACATTCAATTAAGACATTGGACATTTCGCAAAAATTCTGTTTTAACGAGTTGCTTTCCTTTTTTAATTATTAAACAATATTCTAAAAAAAAAGCAGTGAGAAAAAATAAGTACTAGTTGTTTATTTAATTTAAGTCCACAAATTTTTTTTGCTGATTTGCCAAGTGGCGAGTGGTTATTTTCAGGTCAACTTCTTGATAAATTGTTTCAAGTGACAATAATTCAAACCACTGAATTTCACATCTGTGATTTATAACAATAGACTAATAATTATTTTAACGAATTTCATACCTTAATTTGTTTTTAAAAATACAATCTATAGCATGCCTAAATAAAACTGCATTATAAACAAATAAATAAAACGCAAAAAAGTATAGATAAAAATATTATTTAAAATTTTAAACTAGCAATTTGAATTATAAATCTAACAAACATAAATACAATTATAACAATTAAAAAATAAATAGTAAACTACAAGTCATATAATACTAACTCTTTAAGCTGGATTCCCATTTCTTCTAGCGTTCTTTCATGTTCATTGTGGAGTTTTTGCAGTTCAGAATGACTAATTCTCAACTTTTCATATTCCTACAGGGAAATCATTAATGTTATTAAACTATACAATTGATCACTAAAAGCCGAACGATTGGGAAGATCTCCCAGTTTAGCTATAGTCGGTTGTTACTCTTAAAAATGCCGATTGTCTAGCTTAATCGCAGATGCAATTTATGCGCTTAATTAAGTGTTAAAGTTTTGAAGCAGAATTTTTATTAATCATATTTTTTATACTTTTTTATTATATAGTATCAATTTAGGTCAAAATAAGTAAAAAATATTATGCTTAGCACTTTGATAATTTACGGTTATGAAATATAGCATGAAACACCAGTATATTTTTTTGCATTAAAAGTAAAATCTTCTAAATACAACTAACTCACTTCAAAATAATACGTTTTCAAATTTGCACTTATTTAGAACTATGAATACGTCATTGAAATCTCATTAATTTACAAAATAAGGAAGAAAAAAATTTTTAAAACTATTTTTGTTGAATTTTATGCTATAGTACAAATATAATTCCGATAATCTAACAGATTTTTTTCAGAAAATATTAGACAGTTTATTATAATTAAAAAATATCAAAATATATTTTTGTTTGCAATTAGTAAGTTAAAAAAAAATATCATAGGGACATAGGTGTTCCATCTGCATCTAAAGGTTCAGTTAGTAAACTACTTAATAAAGATTAATAAATTATCAATAATTTTTTATAAAAATACTGTAGAAATTACAGATAAAAAACTAAATAAAGAAAAAAATATTTATTACAAGTTTGTTTTGCTTAAATTCTAAACTTTTTCTGTCATAAAATTAAATTTGAAAATTTCTAAATTTTAAGTTTAATTTTAAAAATTTTCAATAAAAATTTATATAATAAAAAAGAAATTTTATCTACACACATAATCTTAAAATTAATAACATATAAAAATTACAAATAATTAAAACTTATTAAAATGTTATTCTTCTAAGAAATATCTGTCTTTTATGTAAAAATTCTTTCAGAGAAAAAGCAACGGACATTTTTTATGAGCTAATTATATAACATTAACAAGATAAGAAGATAGATGCTAAAAGTACTTTTTCAGCAAAATATTTAAATTAATTGAACCATTAAGTGATAAAAATTTATAGTCGCCTAATTTTTAGCAATAACAACTACTTATTAATAAAACTCATATCTACGAGTTTGATTGAAGCTTACTAATTGGAATTCATTAATGCAATTTTTCATAGTGGCTTGTATATTTTATGCTAGATTTGGATATTTATAGGTTATAATTTATAGCTTGCAAGACTTAATGTATTTTCATAATTTTTCATAAAATTAATGACATATATAAAAAAAATTTAAAAGTCACATGCATTATTAAAACTTCAAAAAGTAGGCTTTATTTATAGAAAACATTTTATTTAAACTATTAGAGTAATCAATTTGAAAGCACACATTTTTTCAAGAGGCAGGCAGGGTTTAATACTTGAAATTTTTGATTTTGTTAAATCTTTACATAAAACTATTGGACATGTGTTTTTTATTTATTTTTGTGAAATTTTTTTTCTTTAAGTTTTGAAATGAATTGGTCAAAATCTGAAGACTCTTTAGAATTTTGGGAACACATAAATTTGCATGCAGCAATATTTTCTATGAAATGAAGTAATTACAGTTATTACTGTTATTTTGCATCTTACTATTTTCACAGCAACTATTAAGACAATATCTATAATGGACTTTTGCGTTTGAGCTCAAAAGCCATTAAAAATCTTCTAAATTGGGGTATCTATCAATATCTCCTTACTATAATAGAGTATCACAAATGTACATATTTGTGTGGAAATACACTAATTAGTAGTACCTAAAAATTCAACACAATTGCCTGACCTTAAAGTAGCAAGAAACTAAAATTTTGCACGATTTTCGAAGACATTAACTACTTTTGCCAAAACTTGACAAGTTTGGAATTTACTGGAAAAGAAGCCTTAAGTATAGCAAAAATAAAATCAATTCACAGATCTATGGTTAATGAATATTTTTTTATATAATATGGCCTTAAACTTTGAGACTTGTAACTGAGTATAGAAATAGTTAAGAGAAAACTAAAAATTTCAAGAAAATAAAAAATGTCAAGCATCCAACTCAAACGGGGAACAGTGTGGAAATAAAATATCCTCAGTTGTAGACAGATCATGGGTTAGAATCCTTTGCTACCTGGTTAAGAGATTAACCGAGGGAGGTTTTCATAGTTTTTTTTTCAATGTAAGACAAATTCTGGTAAATTTTTTCAAAAAGTCTTTCAAGAAAACTAATTTGTCCCGATACTTGATCCCTTGTCTTCTGGGCCAGGTTCAAAATTACATGGCTACGAAGCTGCTCAATATGCTTATAAAATAAAATAAAAGTATTCAACCATGCCCTTTTTGAAAAAAAAAAACGGCTCTAAAACAAAGTTTTATTTTATTAAAAAATGTGCTTGATATAACACATACGATACTACAATACTTTTTCTACAATAGACAAAAAAAAAAATTTCCTCCAACAGATTTGGCTAGTCAAAATTGATTTAGTGACTGTGTTCTTCTAAGATGGAAGCAAAAAAAATCTCCAAATTTGAGATTATTTAAAGCAGTTATATAGGTTTTATAATTTTAAAAATTAATTTTTTTTTCTTTTTTTAAAAAAGTAATATTTATAAAATGTCAAGAATACTACCCTAAAGTTTACAGCATATAATTCTAAAAAGAAGAATCTTTAGAAATTCTTTCTATTAAGAGTTAATAAGCTAGTAGTACAGATATAAAATTACCCCCTCCCAAAAGAAGTTTATAAAACTCAATTTTTGAAATCAATGGACAGATTTCTAATGAACTAATGCCAAATAAACCTATTTGAAACTAGATGGAATTGACTAGATATTAAACCAGTAAATTGTTTTTTTTTTTTTTTTCTTTTTTTTTGTTTCTGTTTGTTAAGCTTTGAATGCAAGTTATTATTTTACCAGGCAACACAATAAAAAAAAATTTTAGCAAACAAAACCAAACATTCAGATTTTAAATATTTTCTAATTCAACATAAATCAATTTTTAATTCTCCCATCTGACCAATTCCATCTAGAAAACATGCAAAATAATATCATTAAAATAGGTGCATTATTTTTTAAGAAACCGTGTTCACTGCAAAGAGACTTTTTTCCTGTCATGTTTTCATAAACTAGCTCTTCACAAATAAATTTTAAAAATTTTTAGACATAAATTTTATGAAATAATGTTCTATCATATGCTTAAATTTTGGAGAAAAAAAAAACAAAAAAAAACGACAACCTTTTAATACATTAAAAGATAGTAAATGATTAAAAGCTAGTATGATTTTTATGTCATTTAAAACCCATACAAAACCTTAAAAATTTCAAATAAAAAAAAATGCATTTTCAATTTTCCAACAAGGAATACATAGTATTAAATAATAAAACTAAAATCTCAACAAGAGGACACCAAGCATACACTAAATAAAAACAGTCAATTATTGAAATAAATCATGGCTTTTTATTCAAATGCTTTAGAAGTTTCAAGTTGCATTATGGGACTTAACTGGGTTATGGGAAGTTTCAAACTTAAGATCCATGTAACAAACATACACAGTTCAGACTATAAAATGTGTTATTTTTTAAGTTCTGTAGTAGTAAGAATAGACTGTTAAAAGAAAAAAAAACTTAGAGATTCACCTGAGACATTAATTGGAGCTTTTTCACATTGTCTTTTAATGAGGTAATTTGCCTTTGGTAATTGTCTATAGTTGACTGTAAGGAGGCCCGATGAGCTCTTTCGATTTTCAGATCTGACTCTAGCACAGATCTGAAATGTTTTAAAAACGTTTCTAGCTTAGAATAAATAATGCTTTATTACTATATGTTATTGATATAAATTATTATGAAAAATATAAATTCCTACAAATAAAGATCAAAACTGCTTGAATCACAACATAGCAAGAGAAAAATAGCTAAATTTAAGTAGATTTTAAACACAAACTTCTTAATTTTATAGATGCTATCAATAATTTAGCAAGTGAAAAGCAAAAGCTATTTTTCACAACATTAATTTAAAATGTATTAGCAATATACTTATTAGCTTTGTCTGGAAAAAAAAAATGTTATATTTAATTAAAAATAAAATTATTTTACAGAATAGTACTCAATAAAATTTAAAATTTTTAGTAAAAATGATTATTAATAAAATTAAAGGAGCACTTATTAGATACATAAACACTTAATAGTTACATAAGTACAGTGTTTGAATAACAAAATAATATATATATATATATACACACACACACATATGAAACAAAAAGGATTAAAAAAAGAGAGAAAAACAAAGAAAAATAATAAGTTTTATTTATTGTGCATAAGTTGACAAAATTATATAATGTTAATAGAAAGAAAAAAATTCATTTAATTTTATACAATTCTTGAACCCTGTGGCAGAATCGCAGCGACACGGCATTTTTTTACATATGTTTTTAAAGTAAAAAATTTCATGTTTCTTTTCTAAAGAAATTTACAAGTAATATTTGAACCATGCAATTAGATAATAACTTTTTGTCGCTCTTAATTTACGCTGATAGTATTATAAATCAATGTAATGTTTTGATTGTATTTTCGGCAATTTATTGATATTGATTTTCATGTGGTTTTTAAATATTCCAAACACTTTTAAAAATTCGAATAGTGCATTTGAGTATTTACTTTTTAAGGCAATGATTCTATCTAATTTTAGGCAGCTAGATTTCTCAATAGTTTTTAAATCCGATATTTTTATAATTGATTATTTACAAAATACGAAGAAGGAAATAATTTGCGCGTTACCCCCTCCTATCTAACAAAAATGGGAGAATATCACCCATAATATTTGAAGAAAAAATTATTACATGCTTAATATATATACATCAGTGTTTTCACTACAGCGCGAGAACGCGAGAATCTCGCATATTTTTTTCCTTTCTCGCAATAAAAAATGATTAGCGCGAGAAGTTCGCGCACTCTATTAATCAATTTCAAAATGCACGAATTTTGGAAAAAATTTCGTCTTTTGCAATTTTGAATAAAATCTGTTTCACTTTTCTTCCTTGATCTTTCATTATTTTGAACATCGATCCGTGTTATCTAGCTTCCCTATTTATAAGTATTGTTCAGAACCGGTGCGAACAGCAGAACACCACCCCCCGAACCACGGAATCCCTTTCAGAACACATTTCTCTGCAACCACGTGTTCACCGTAGGTAAGGTTTCTTCATGTAAGACGTTTGCATTTTTTGTGCATGAATGTAAGATGGACAAATACCTTGTTAAGGCGACATCTTCTACTCCGTAACGGACAATTGAAAATGAAACAAATGTCGGTAGAA